TGCAGACGTCCTTCCTGTTCTCCGCCATCTTGGCGAAAATATTGTTCCTCACGAACTTCCTGTAAGTCCTGACCGAGAGCTCGAACGGCCCGACTGTGCGACCTCTCTTCCGTTTGATCTCCTGGCCGAGCAAATGTTTGCGCTCTTCGTTCAGCGAGGTGAGGGGCATGGACGCCAAGCTGTTGTATAAAAAAACCGTGCGCGATGCGACTCTGATGACCACTGAGCTTGCCAATCCAAGGCAAAGAAAACGATGCATCAACACATGACCTGCAATCTCGGTAGGTATCACCCAGTGTGTTCATTGTGGCCATAATCGCATCCTCGTTGTAATCCACCACGCACGCACGAAGTATATCGAACTTGGGCTGGGCAAATCTGAACTCAGTCCTGAAGCATGCCGAACCTGCAGACGAAATGAGCTTCACATATGCATGGAAGAACTGGTCGTCGGTCCATCCTCCATCCTGCCAGCCGCTGGACGTGCTGTCGAACAACATATCGGCGATGCCACGCTGTAAAGCCAAAGCGCTGGTGCCGTCCAAGAACTTCCTGACATGGTCGCGAGCCGTCTTCGAGGCCAACTCGAAGCGCTCAGCGTGATCAGAGGGGCTGTAATGCGGGTGCGTTGGCGGCTGAAGCTCTTGCAATCTCACGAACTGCTGCCTGGCCTGGTCCGCTTTGAACAGGGTGTTCAGGTAGACCTGGAACGGCGAGTTGCAGATGGCGGCAATGTGCAATGACCTGTTCATCAGGTCTGCGTCTATGAAGGCAGTGAGCTTCTTCGCCCTGATGCTGTTGTTCGCCGAGTGGTTGACGCCCCCTGCCGCCGCAGCAACTGCGGCCTGAGCCTCCGCAGCATCCAGCGATTCACCATCACACATGGCGTGCTAACACCGAGGCAGAATCTTGAAGAGAAGCATCCCCCTAAGCATCCAACAGCTCGCTTGCTCGAAACCTTGAACCTATACATCAAACATACGGGGCAGCCAGCTGAGAATAACATATCAAGCGCTCTCTTGACAGTGTTATGGAAGTGCATTCTTCCACCGCAGGTGCACCCAGGATGATGCCGATGCACGATGAGCTTATCATCTGGATCGGAGTTCAGAACCATGACAACAAACTCAAGGTCAGTGCTGTCTAAATCGCGAGCAGGCCTGGTCATCGCAATGATTCCTCGTGTTTTCGCCTTCCACCCACGTATCTGATCAGACTCATCAAAGACATCGCGAAGCACTGTTGCGTTCGCAATCTTATCAACCTGGGTCTGGAAACGATCCCGAAATCGAGCCAACTGTCACAGGTGACCAGCTCGCGTCATCGCTGTTATCGGGTCTGACTGGTGCTCAAAGTTCGGCCTCATCGACAAAACCAGCTGGTGCGCGAAACACTGAATGCCAATCACAGTGAACGAGTGTGGCGTGCCCTGGGACAAGATCGCCGACCGTTCAACCTGCCCCTGCAGTAAGCCATTGCATACGTGTGCGCCCTTGGAAAAACACCAACTTACTTTCAATGGCATCAACGACAGGACCGCACACATCAGCACGATCAAAGCAAGAACCTCTGGTAGGGAAAATACTCCACCTCCTCCACCTGTCGTAGATCGTTCCGAAATTCCCCCTCGGGATGGGCACAGCAGGCGTTACTAGCTCACAGGCCACGGTCGAAAACGAAGCCCTCGAAAACAAAGGAATCATGTGAACTGTCTGCGAAGGTTCATGACCCAACGGCGCTTATTCGCGCCACGCTTGGACTCGTGCTTGTCTACGCCAGGGTTGGGCATATCATCAGCAGCAGCAGGTCGCTGAACGTCATCGGGCGCAGAACGAAGCCACGTCTCAGCGTCGTCCATTGTCGCAGTGATCAGCATGCCTGCCTCAGCAGGAGGCGCTGAGGCGATGAAGTCGCGCACGCCTGTGGCCTGGGACAGCACGCGCGACACTGCGGCCCTGGAGCAATCCTTCTTGGACGTCCTCCTCACGTCCACTGTGATGATCAAACCAGCGGCCTCGAGCTCACTGGTCCTCAACACGGCTTCCTGTGGACCACAGCCAACCCGCAACCACGACATGACGCCAATGCCGCCCAATCAGACTTGCCCTGCGCCCGCACCTGGTCATTCAGTAAATCTCACGCATTTGCAGAATCTGATCCATGGCACAGGGCATGTCTGACTGGGCGGCATCGGCCGCAGGACGGTTGGCGGGCTGGCTCCACAGTCCTTGGCGTCAACAGCGGAGCACCCGAAACTTGTGCTCGAGACCGCCCGCGCGAAGGAGCTGCCCGTGGCGTTCCTCAGGGCAACCCGTGCTCGCCAAGCCTGAAACTTGTGCATGGCGGCGCGGATCCGAGCTCTGTGGGCGAGCTCCTTCGGCCTGCCTGGCGCGCCGCGACCATGGCCCGCCCCTGGAGCGGCTGCTGCCCTGCCGCGGGCGCGCCCACGGCCGCGGCCGCCGCGGCCGCGCCCGCGCCCAGCTGGTGCTGGCGCGGGGGCGGCAGGAGCCAGGGCGGCGGCAGCAGCTGCTGGTGGGGCTGCAGCTCCTGCAGCACCGTCGCCTGCTCCAGCCCCAGGGCCATCCACCAACAACCTCCACATGCCCGAGGTGCCACAAGATGATAGAGTTGAGCCCAAAGTGGCGGAGGGTGGACACATGGGGGATCGGACAGGCTTGCTGGGAAGGCGGTCATGGCATGAGCTTGCACGCAGAGCGACAAGGGACACATCAGAGGACATCCAAGGGACCAAGGGACATGCCAGGGACATGCCAGGGGACATACTAGCTGACATAACAAGGGACATAACAACCATAATTTGAAGATACGGGTAGGGGTAGGGGGTAAGGGGTAGAGGTAGGGGTAGGGGGTAGGGGGTAGAGGTAGGGGTAGAGGTAGGGGTAGGGGTAGGGGGTAGGGGGTAGGGGTAGCGGTAGGCTGTAGGGGTAGGTGTAGGGGTAGGGGTATGGGTAGCGGTAGGGGGTAGGGGTAGGGGTAGGGGTTGGGGGGCCGTTGGTCGAGAAATACGTGTGGGGGTGGGGGAGGAGAAATCCCTCATAACCGCGCGGCCCTATGCGAAGTGCGTGTGCGTCCACCTCCCCTCAGCTATGTCGGCGTTGCTTATTGCCCTGAATTGGTCAGATATTGCCCGTCCCCCACTCATGTCTCCCGATCGCCCCCCACCAATCCTCGCCCTCATCTCCTCTAGTTGCATCGACCCCGCCCCCATGAAAGAAACGTCGGGCTGTCAGATGCCAAAACGTGTTCTTATGTTAGATGCTTGTACGTGCGATGTTTTCTTTAGTAGACCAGGGGGCGTACGGATTTTTACAACAGGTGCTATCAGACGTCTTTGTGTTACCCATACTCACGGTTTGAGGTCCACCAGGTAGTCACGCAATATCCACCGTGGCATTTGTTGCTTATCGGCGCATGCACTTGCGAGCTTGAATGAGCGACATGGGGCGAGTTCGTCGAGTGGTAACAAAGGCGGTGCGAAACTGGCCCTTGTTCGTACCGTTGGGCGGGGCAAACAATGCTGACACATATGCCCCACCAACGTAGTCGAACACCGCACATGGATGCACCTCCAAGTACTGATACTACTGTAATGTGGACGGTACCAATACAAGTTTACAACATGTATGTATAGTGCGCATTGCAACATATGCTTCAGAACTCTATTCAGCTGCCCAATCTGGATAACTGTCGGCTTGATCATCCTGGCCGACAAAATTTACGAGCTACATCGTGTATCATGTCACACAGTGCCTCGGACAGATCAATCATGTACGCTGGGAGTGATAGAAGAGAGCGGTGTTCTTTGTGACACACATCGGCCGTGTCTGCTGTCGTCTGACCAAAAAACCGTCGGCTTCAAGCGATCAAGGAAATGCTTCCAGATAAGAGGAATGTCCGGGTCGCACGTGTTCACCAACAAAACCGGATCGTGTGCATGGTCGCGCAAGTTGTCTCACATTCCCGAAAAGTCGATCCAAGTGCTGCTCAACCCCGAAAAGCAGCCCCTTCAAAACAGCAGGCTCTGAGTCAGCGCTGCCAGCACGCAAAGAGAGTCGTCGCGCAACGCCTGTCAAAACTTAAGCTCGCAAAGAAGAAAAGACACGCAAAACAAAAAATCGGCCAGTCGCCGACACCGCGCATGGCCTAATGCGGAAACAGCATCAAGAGATTTCTCCACGCCCTCTTCACCCGCGAGCTTCAACAGTCGCACCTGTCGCAGAACGCTCGCTGGAGGTTGAAGCCAAGCTGTCCAGATACACGCACCCTCATGACCAAACTCTTCCTGTTGTAAGGATAGGGATACTGGAGGAAGAGAAAACGACACAAGCATAAACTGTCCGAGGCCCGCGCGGACTTCTTGGATCGGCGCTGACCCCCCTCTCTGGCGCGCGGAGCGCGCCAGGGGCGGCGCCGGAGGCACCGCCAGGGGGGCCCAGCGCCGATCCAAAAAACCAGCGCGGAGCTCCGAATGTTTATGTTTACACCGTTCTTCGGCGGTGAGCGAGGGTGGGAAGTGAGAAAGGGCGGGCCTCCTCAGAAGGCTCGGAAAACCCCCGGGCTTCCGAGAAGCTCCCTGAACCGTCCCCGAAGTGAGAAAGAACAGCTGAGAAGGCACGAGGGCTTCTGAGGAGTCGCCGCCGCCTTCTGAGAAGGCCTCTTCCTTCTCACTTCCCCCCCCCCTCGCCGCCGATCTTGGTGTCCCCAGGCTCGACGTCGAGGCTGGAGGAGGCGCTCTTCGAGACATTCGCTGGCTCTCTCGCAGGTTTTCTGATGGGCCTGCTCTCCACCACCAAAACCAGAAGTTGGAGGGGAGAAAGAGGTGGAGGAGGAGGAGGAGGAGGAGGAGGAGGAGGAGGAGGAGGAGGAGGAGGGGGAGGAGGAGGAGGGGGAGGAGGAGAGCGGAGGAGGAGGAGGAGGAGGAGGAGGAGGAGGAGGAGGAGGAGGAGGAGGAGGAGGAGGAGTAGAGGAGGAGGGAGGTCCTCGCGGCCCTCGCGGGCGCTCGGGTGCCCGCCGCTCGCGGGGCGCTGCAGCGCCAGCTGAGCGGCCGCCTGCGACACCGCCTGGCGCACGGCGCGCTGCTGCAGCCGGCCGTGCTGCGCCTCTGGGGGGCGGCCGGCCAGCGCCGTCCTCGTCGACGTCGCCGTCGGTCGGTCGTCGGTCGTCGGTCGGTCGTCGGTCGTCGGTCGGTCGTCGGTCGGTCGTGGAGGAGGCGGAGGAGGAGGAGGACGAGGAGGGTGAGGAGGAGGAGGAGGAGAAGGAGGAGGAGGAGGAGGAGAAGGAGGAGAAGGAGGGGGAGGAGGAGGAGGAGGAGGAGGAGGAGGAGGAGGAGGAGGAGGAGGAGGAGTCGTCGGTCGGCCGTCAGTCGCCGGTCGTCGGTCGTCGATGTCCGGTCGCCGGTCGGCGTCGCCGTCGGTTCCCGAGACTTCTCGGGTGCTCACGGGGGTTTCGGAGGGTCTTGGAGGTCGTCGTCGTCGTCGTCGTCGCCACCGTGGCCGCCGTCGGCAGTCACGCGTGTCTCGACGGTCGACGTCGCGGTCGCTGCTGTCGTCGTCGTCGTCGTCGTCGTCGTCACCGCCGTCGTCATCGCTGTCGCCGTCGTCGTCGCCGATGGATCGATCGAGGTCGTGCAACCTTTCTGCACGTGATTCTGCCCTTTCTGGGTCGGGGCGCCCCGTCGCCACCGCCACCGTCGTCGCCGACGCCGTCGTCGATCGTCGATCGTCGATCGATAGAGGATCAAGAGTCGAGGATCCAGGATCAGGAGAGGAAAGGCACAGTGCTTCTGCAGAGGGGGAAAGAGGGTGCCTGCGCCCCGGCCTTTAACTACCTCCTCCGATCCTCGCCGCCCCATCGCCGCCTCGCCTGTGCCTCCTTCCCTCCTCCTCCTCCTCCTTCGCCTCCTCCTGTTCCTCCTGCTCTGCCTGCTCCTCATCCTCCTCCTCCTTCTTCCTCCTCACTCGCCTCCTTCCTTCCCTGCCTACCTCCCCCCTCCGCCTCTCTCCCCTTCCCTCCCACCCTCCCTCTCTCCCTCCTCCCGCTCTCCCGCCTGCCCTCCCTCCCTCCCTCACTCCCCATCCCCCGGCCCTCCTTCTTCCTCCTCCTTCTTCCTCCTCCTCCTCCTCCTCCTCCTCCTCCCCTCCTGATATCCTCCTCCTCCGCATCCTCCGCATCCTCCGCCTCCGCCTCCGCCTCCTCCTCCTCTTCTTCTTGCTGGAAGTATGAGTATTCTGTTTTATTATTCTTATTATTAGTATTATTAGTATCCGCATTATTGTTATGATTCCTCTTTTCGATATTATCAGTATTTGTTATTCGGATTCGTATTATTCTTCTTTTCCTTATAAAAATATTCTTCTGAGTCTTCATGATATTAGCATTACTACTATTAGCGTTGTTCTTCTTGTTAGTATTATCATTATTATTACTATTTCTATTACTCGTATTCCTCCTCCTCCTTTTCCTCCTCCTCCTCCTCATCATCAGTATCGTAATCATCTTCATCGCCACCATCATCAGCCATCATCATCACATTGATCAGCATCAGCACCATCATCATCATCAGCAGCAGCATCAGCATCATCATCACCATCATCGTCATCGCCATCAGCATCATCACCATCATCACAACCACCACAACCACCGTCATCATCATCAGCACCAGCACCATCAGCACCATCAGCACCATCAGCATCATCATCATCAGCAGCATCATCATCATCAGCATCATCATCAGCATCATCGTCATCAGCATCATCATCATCATCATCGTCATCAGCATCAGCATCAGCATCATCATCACCAATCAGGCGATCACTCAATCAATCATCCACCACCAATCATCATCATAATCAGCACAATCAGCAGCATCATCAGCAGCATATGATCATCATCATCATCATCAGCATCATCATCATGATCATCATCATCATCATCATCATCATCCTCATCATAATCATCATCATGAGAGTAATCATAACCAGCATCATCATGTTCAACAGCATAAGCATCATCAGCATCATCTGCAGCATCATCTTGATCATCAGCATTATCATCGTCATCAGCATGATCATCAGCATCAGCATCAGCATCAGTATCAGCATCATCAGCATGCTCATCAGCATCATCAGCATCGTCATCATAATCATCATCTGCAGCATCATCGTCATCATCATCACCAGCATCATCATCGTCATCAACATCAGAAGCATCATCCACATCAGCAGCATCATCATCAGCGTCAGCATCAGCATCATCATCACCATCATCATCGTCATCATCATAATCATCATCAGCATCATCATCGTCATCATCATCACCAGCATCATCAACGACATCAGCATCAGCACCATCATCCACATCAGCAACATCATCATCAGCGTCAGCATCAGCATCATCACCACCATCATCATCGTCATCGTCACCGTCATCATCAGCATCGTCGTCATCAGCAGCATCATGATCAGCCTCATCATCATCATCATCATCATCAGCATCATCATCAGCATCATCATCACTACCATCAAGATCATCATCACAAGCAGCATCATCAGCATAATTTACAGTATCATCGTCATCAGCATCATCAGCATCACCACCACCACCATCACCACCGTCATCATCATCATCATCATCATCATCATCGGCACCATCAGCGCCATCAGCACCATCAGCACCAACAGCATCATCAGCATCATCAGCATCATCATCATCACCATGATCATCATCAGCATCAGCATCAGCATCATCACCATCACCAATCAATGAATCACTCAATCATTCAGGAACCACCAATCATCATCATAATGGGCATCATCAGCATCATCAGCAGCATACTATCATCATCATATATCCATCATCATCAGCAACATCATCATAATCATCATTATCAGCATCTTGATATTCAGCAGCATCATGTCCGGCATCATCGGCATCATCAGCATCAGCGGCAGCATCATCATCATCATTATCATCATCATCATCATCATCATCGTCATCAGCATGGTCATCAGCATCAGCATCAGCATCAGCATCAGCATCAGCATCATCAGCATGCTCATCAGCATCATCGTCATCATCAGCATCAGCATCAGCGTCAGAATCGTCATCATCACCAGCATCGTCGTCCTCATCAGCATCAGCATCAGCATCATCATCACCATCATCATCAGCATCATCACCTTCATCATCACCAGCATCATAATCATCATCACAAGCAGCATCATCAGCATCACCAGCATCATTAACATCAACATCGTCATCAGCTTCAGCATCAACATCGTCATCACCAGCACCATCTGCACCATCAGCATTATCATCGTCATCAGCAGCATCACCATCATCATCATCAGCAGCATCCTCATCATCACCATCATCATCACCACCATCATCATCATCATCATCATCAGCATCAACATCATCATCAGCATCAGCATTATCATCAGCATCAGCATCATCATCACAATCAGCATCATCATCAGCAGCATCATCAGCACCAGCATCATCATCAGCAGTAGAATCATCATAATAATAATCGTCATCATCATAGTCATCAACATGAGCAGCAGCATCATCAGCATCATCACCAGCAGCATCATCATGATCAGCATCATCGTCATCATCATAATTCTCATCATCGCCAACATCATCATCACCGTCATCGTCATCCTCATCAGCATCATCAGTATCACCATCAAAATCAGCATCATCAGCATACTCAGCATCATCATAAGCATCATCAGCATTATCATCGTCATCGCCATCGTCATCCTCATCCCCATCCACATCCCCACTCTCCTCCTCCTCCTCCTCCTCCTCCTCCTCCTCCTCCCTTAAGTCCTCCTCTCCTCTCCTCCTCACGTGTCAGTGTCCTTGTCCATCCTCCTCCCTTCCCTCCTCCCCTCCCTCCTCCTCCTCCCTCCTCCCCTCGTCCTCGTCCTCCTCTCCTCCTCATCATCCTCCTCGTCCTCTCCTCCGCTTCCTCCTCCTCTCCCCCCCTCTTCCCCGCCTCTTCTCCCCCTCATCCCTCCTCTCTCCTCCTCCTCCTCCTCCTTCCTCCTCTCCCCCTTCCTCCTCCTCTCCTCCTTCTCGTTTTCCTTTTCCTCCCACTCCTCCTCCTATTCCTCCTCCTCCTCCTTCCTACTCCGAATATCCTCCTCCGAATCTCCATCCTCCTCCGAATCTCATCCTACCCGCCTTCCTTCGACTCGGCCTGGGTGGCTATATTCATTCCCTCCCTCCCTCCCTCTCCCTCCCTCCCTCCCTCCTCCCCTCCCTCCTCCCCTCCACCGACCTCGGCGGATGATGCTCACCCGGCGCCTCACCGCGCCCCCCTCGCCCCTCGACGGGCCCCGCAGTGACTACGCGGTCATCACCAAACACCCCCAAACATGAAAAAACAAATACTTCTCATCTTCTCGCATCCGCAAGGCGCGCCACGTCCAACGGAACATCGGGGCTTCGAGCGCCAGCTACCCTAACAGAAGTGCAAGAGCACTCTCACGCCCCACGTCGCAACCGCGCCAGAGAGCAAACGTCGACCACGTTCGCCCCGAAAGCAGCGGCACCAAGCCAAAGAAGTCTTCCACGCGGAGCCACCGCACCCGAAATTCAGATCAAACAAATCTGAAATTCAGACCGGGCCAATCTGAGTTTCACATCGGGTCGATCTGAATTCCAGACCGGGCCAATCTGAATAATCCCTGCGCAGAAGTCCCAGGCAGAACGCCTCGCTTGAGTTCCTGGGGGGGGGGCGCAATCTGAATGTCAGACAGGGGCAATCTCAATCTCAGGTGCGGGGAGCGCCGCCCCGAAGAAAATGCGTCGCGATTTCCCTCCACGATCAGCCTGAGGTGAGGAAACAGCGCACAGACACGCAAGTCACACGAGCTCGAGGATCGCGCGCGCGTCGACGCCGAGCGCGCCCACGCGTCTGCGCAGCCCACGAAAAGAACAGACACCAAAATTCGTTCGAATGACCGCAAGAAGCCACTGAGGAACCCCCCAGGGTTATCATTAGCACAGCACCGTAATTGGAAAATGATGGGGGGCGGTTTTCGCCGAACGATATGGTTAGCACCGCGCAAATGGAACGAACATAAATAAATCCCGCGCCCCGGCTCGGGTGGTATCACAATTGGAATTGGATTAAAAGTAGTAAGAATAATAATAAAATACAAGTAATAAGGCGAGGTGCTTGTTTCAGAACCACAAGGAGACCACATTGCGAGGATGTCTCAGGCGGTTTGCTTAATTTGGCGAGCAGACTCGTCTGCGTTCACATAAAGGTGCGAGGTGCCAAGGTAATGCTGCTAGGGCTGCAGGTGTTGTTTGTTGTGTTGCTGCTGCGTTTTGGTGTGTGGCTGTTTAGTTCTGTTGTTTGCGTTGTGTCGCTCGCGTTGTTTGTTTTGCTCTTGCGTGCCTATTGAAGGGGGGGGATGTTCTTTGAATTTGCTTCTGGTGCGGTTAATTGCGACCGGAGAAGGGGGGGGGTTCTGAATTGCTTCTTGCGGTTAATTCGACCTCAGGGGCACCCGGTGATCACGAGATCGCGACGGCAACGCACCGGCCGAAGATGATCACGACCCCTCGACCTCGGAGGGGCAACGGCGCGCAGCCCAGTGCAGGGCCACCCCAGGCCCCACCCCACGCGCGAGGCCCGCCTCAGGCGCGGCCCTTCCGCGACATCACCCCAACGCCGACCGCGCGCAGGGCCCCCGAAGGCAAAATGGGCGAACCACTCCCACCCCGGGAGCCAATAATGGGCGAACCACAGCGACAGTAGCCACGGCAGGGAACACACCTCTCCACACCTCCACGCGCAATAAGCAGCAACCGACCTGCTGACCCAACACGCGCTGGGGGCCAGCGCAAGCTGGGTCGACCACCTCGCCCGCATCACCCCCAGGTGGTCCCTGGACCTCTGTGATCCCGACAGAGGCAAACTGGCCCCTCTACTGCGTCGAGGAGGTCCTCCGTGCTCTCCTTGCGGTGGCCTTCGTAGGACTCCACATGGACCTACCACCATAAGAGGCGACCGACCTCCAGAGGCGTCAGGCGCACGAAATCTGCGAAGAAGCCTGGGAACGATGGCGACCAGGAGCGCCGCGACAGTCATCAACACACTGCCGCGCTCACTGGCCACGCGCTGAACCACGCAATTCAGCAGATGAGCGACGCACGCCGCGACGCTATGGACGCGCACTTGGACCGCCTCGACCCCCTACCAGGATACCAGGGGCGCCACCAGCCCACTGGGGTCTACCCGCAGACCGCGGCACCGCCCTTCCCACCAGAACATGATGCACCGCGCCCAGAAGCGGCACCCTCACGCGGGCCCGTTCTGCGACAGCGGCGCGACCGCACGGCTATGCTCTCTTTCGACAAGCACCACTGGTCCAAGCACACTGACCCCTTTGCCAGCGACGACGGGCAAAACAACCCTGGCCCCAAAAGACCAGGGGACCCGCCCGACCCAGCACCTGGCACCGCTACTGGCATCCGCCTAAGGCGTCGACCTTGCGGGGCCAGCGCAGCACAGCCCCCGCCTCACCGTCGACGACGCCACATGCCCGGCTCAGCCGGCGCGGGGGGCACAACTACGATGTTCCCGCAACTCCTCTACGGGCGACAAAGAACCCCCCCTGTCGACCCCAGGGCCACACCTCCCTGGCCCACCCAGCCCACTACGGCCACCAACCGTCAGTCGCAGCTCCACCAAGCCAGTCACGCAACCTCCCAGGCTCAGCCTCGGGAGACGGGGCCATCCCTGCTCTCGCGGCTCACCAACCAGCCCAGCTCACCAAAGCGCAGCATCCTGCGACCCCCGACCAGTCAGCGGGAGCGAAAAGGTCACGCTCTGAGGCCCCATACCGCCGCCACCGCGCGTCATCCTCCCACATGGGAAATACCTGCGGAGTCTTGACGCTGACGCCTGGCCGCTGGCACCCGACCCCCACTTCTTCCAGCAACTGGCCGATCATGGTGGCATGGACCCTCCTCCTACCAGCAGCGCGGCACCCCCCGGCCTGCCCCCCGCGGAAGGTCCTTTGCCTGCTTCGCCCTTTGGCCCTCCTCCGCCACGAGGACCCCAGCCGCCTCAGGCGCACCCCGCATCTCTTGGGCGTGGCTTAGTGGGGGGGTCATAAATGGGGGGGTCAGAAACGGTCCCCTTTCGTGCCCCTTTCGGGCCCCTCTGGAGCCCCAGGGGGCTCGTTTAGGTACCGTTTGGGTACCTTTTCGGACCACCCTCGCCACCCCCCCATTTATGACCCCTCCATTACGGGCCCCCCCCCATCCGGGCTCAGGCCCAACACGGGGGAATCACACCCGTCGTGCGCAGGGCCCTGCACGTCGCCCAGACGGCCGCGCTGGCCCCCCTCCCGTCGCAGGGACAAGCCCCACTCAGGCCCGAACTCAGCCCGCGGCAGACCGCTTGTCGCGGCTCGAGCGCCAGTTCGAGCCGGTCCTTTCTCCGGCCATGTCCGCCGAGCGACGCGACAGCAGTTGACCACGCTGCGTGAATTTCACACCACTATCTATGATCTTGCGTGCTGCCCCATGCTCGATACGACCCGCTCTCTGGAATCGTCCTTGGAGCCGCAGATTAGATTTTTAAAAAAAAAAAAAAACAAAAAAAAAAAAAAAAAAAAAAAAAAAAAAAAAAAAAAAAAAAAAAAAAAAAAAAACGCGCCACCGCCCAACGTCAGGTCGCACATGCCCCTTCAGAGACGAGTGCCCCTGCCTCCCTCGCAGCCGCCCTGCGCGCGGCCCAAGCGCTTCGCGCACGGACCGCCCACGAGCCTCCTCCGAGGCCTGCGCGCCGCCTGGCAGGCGTCCACCGTGGCCTTCCCCACTGCGAGTCCTGAAGATGTGCTGGATGGACGCCGCTGCTCCAGATTTCGTAATAAAAGGGAGGGGGTCTGGACCCTCCAAGACAAGCCATTTCAGACCTCCGCCGTGGGAGAACCCTCCAAAACATCGTCCCCAGACCCCCCCAGGCCCTCCAAGATAGCCTGGAAGAGACCCCCCCCCGAAATGAGACACCCCTCCCTTTATTACGAACTCTGGAATACTTCCACCGAAGTACCGTCATGCCAAAGACGGGTGCAGGCTTCGCTCAGCCCTACAGGTGAAGCTCGGACGGCTGCGAGGTAGTGTCACGATACACCTTCTGTTCGCCGGCCGCCCGCCCAAAACAGGTGTGAAGGGTTTTTTAGCACACTCGCACCGGCCAAGGTGCGGGGTGCGCCGGCCGCTTGCCGCCGGTCGCCCGGATAACTCGTCGTCCAGCTGGTCCGCTCTCTCTCTCTCTCTCTCTCTGTTTCTGTTTCTCTCTCTCTCTCTATCTCTCTCTCTCTCTCTCTCTCTCTCGTTCCCTCACCGATGCCAAGCCGCCACGAAGTGCGCACACAATCGGGTGGTGGGGAGGCGCGACTCCCCAAGGAGGCACTCAGACGCGCGCTGGGGCCCTCGCGAAGTGGTTTTCCCAAGGGGAGGCCCTGACCAGTGGCCGACGTCCGTCGGGGGCGTCCAGGAGGGGGGCGTCCACGAGGGGGGGGGGGGTGCGCATCATCACCAGAGGCACGTGCGCGAACGCACGGGGGGACCAGGGGACGTCTTGAAATTGGAGAAGGAGGCGTGGAATCGGAGGAGACGCTACAGATCCGTGGCCCCGCACGCGACATCCCCCCCACTCCTCCCCCCCCAACACGGCCCCATCACACGAGATCCGCCACCGGCGACGTCTTGTCCGCCCTGCGGCGGCCGACGCCAGGCCGGGAGCGCCCCCGCGCCGTGCGCACGCCGCGGCGCCTGGAGCTCCTCGAGCGTGCGCGCCAGCTCCGCCCCCACGGCCTTGGCGGCAGCGGGCGCCCCCCCCGGGCTGCGCGGGGGGCCCGGGCCACAGGAGAGCACGCTGCGGGGAGGGGTGGGCGCAGGGGGCTCCAGGATGCCAGGCTTCTGGGTTGGCTTCACGCGCGGCCGCGCAGGGGCGCGAAGTCCATGGGGCAGGAAAGGAGGGTGCAAGGGAGAAAGATCCGCGAAGAGGCGCCTGGGGCGCGCAGTGGCTGCAGCGGAGATGGGGGGGACAGGGAAGACCAGGTCGAGGGTCGGGAGGGGGAAGGGGAGGAGCGCAGGAGGACCCAGACATGTGGCGACGTGGCTGTTTCACCACGGGCTCCCCAGGAAGGCCAGTTCTTCATCACGACTCGGCTCTCTGACAGTCCTGGGGCCCAGCAAGGGTCCCCGTTGGCCGAAAACTGCAAGAAAAATCACGCCGTCGTGATTCGTCCAAGACGCGAGGAAATTGGGATGGGAGGGGGAGGAGGAGGAGGAGGAGGAGGAGGAGGAGGAGGAGGAGGAGGAGGAGGAGGAGGAGGAGGAGGAGGAGGAGGAGGGGCCACCCTCGGCCAGAAATTGCAACAGCCAAGAAACGCCTTTCAATTTCCCCCGGAGCAAGGGAGCGGGGCTGGGAAAAAGGAGGAGGACGGCTGCGTTCGCTCCGAAGCCAATAGCGACAGCGACAGGAGGAGAAGGGGGAAGAAGACCCATTCAACCCGCTCACCAAACCCCTGAGATTGCACCGATGACAAGTACACACAGGCACTGGCCCCTCGCCAGGGCATTATCGAGTCCAGGACCGCGCGCGCGCATTTTGTTCCGCAGCGGCGCGGCAGAGGCGATCCGCTCGCGCGCTCAAGCAAACCAGGCTACGGCACTGCGCGTTGTCCAGCACACAAGAAGAGGAGGGAAAAAGGAGAGCAGGCCGCAGAGACAGGAAGAGGGAAGAAAGCGCATTAACGCGGCGAGGCCGCGGGGGGCACGACGGGAGGCCAGACTGCAGGGCATTCCCTGGCAACGAGCGCGGGGCGGCGTCGCGGGCCGCACCCAGAGGAGGAGCTGGCAGCCCCAGCGCAGGGCGGGGCCCACCACGTGGGGGGCACAAGAAGCAGCGGGCCGCTAGAAGGCGGGCCGGTGGCGCCGAGGGGCGGGCCGGAGGCGGCGGGGAGGGCCGGCCGCGGCGGGCTGGGCGCGCGGCGCAACGCGGCGGCGGCGAGGCGCGACCGCAGCGCGAGGGAGGGGGGCGAACAGACCAGGCGCAGCAGAGCGCTGGGGGAGTGCTGGCGCCAGGCGGCCGCCGAGCGGCGCGCGGAGGGCACGCAAAGGGAAGGGGCGGCGGTGAGGAGGGCGAAATGGCAGCACGCCTAGCCCAGGGCCAGCGGGCCAGCGCACGCATCACACCCAGGGGCTGGAACAGGGCGCGGGCCCCTGGCAGGGCCGGGAGGCAAAAAAACAAAAGGGGGGAGGGAGGGCGCCGCAACGACGGTGCCCCAAAATTCGGGGCAGCGCGAGATACCAGCAGAGGCGGCGACCAACCTGCGGAGCCCACGGCCGGCGAGGCGGCGAGCGCGCCAAACCCGCAAAGGCCACAGGGGCCCGAGGCGGCGCGCGCTGCAAGGCGCCCCAGCGGCGGGCGGCGTCGCGGGGGCGCGCAGCCGCGACGGCCGACGCGCCGCGCGCAAGGCCAGGGGCCCGCAGCCAGCGCGCGAGCAGGTGAGCGCGGTCTGGGCAGGGCATCGGGCAGCGCGGGGCGCAGCACCTGGGCGGGCTGCGGCGCCCGCGTGGTGACGGGGCGCACCATCTGGGGTGGACGGCGCGCATGGCGGGCATTTGCGGCGCGCAGGCAAGCATCAGCCGCCGGGAGGCGGGCGGGCGGGGGCGCCGCACCCGGGGTGGATGACGCGCCGGGGCCAGGCGGGGCTCCATGCCAGGAGTGGCTCCACCAGCGGGCAGCCATCGCACTTTAGCAACGCATCCCTTCTGTGCCGCTCGCTTGTCCTCGTCGGTGGAGTGCTTGGGGATGGCGGTGCCGAGCCTGCTCGGGCAGCGGGAGCCCGCCGGCGCAAGAAGCAGGCCGGCCCGCGGCGTGCTGCCCGTGGGCTTGGGGACCTGGCACCCCTGTGACAGCGCCCTCTTCGCGTGCAGGTCACCACTGGGACCCTCCTGGTCGACCAGGTTGCCCCGAAGGTGGCTACCTCGACGTCGTCTGGGACGGTCTGCCCGCGCGCTGTCAGCTCATCCTTCCAGCAGCCTGCGCATCGCCGTGGGCAGCAGGCTCCGCGCCAGCAGGCTGGCTTCCAGTTGGCTGCGAAAGCTGTCCCTGGCCTCTGCTGCCACCCATGCCCTGGCGTCCGCTCCGAAGCTCCGGGCTTAGAGTTAGGTCGGGCATGTCCCCCTACGGGCGGATTGTGGAGATTCTCGAACGTAGTCAAAAAATGATCGACAAATCGTCCCCAGACTGTTTTTCGACTCTTATCGAGCATTCCTCTTGTAGAGGGACATGCCCGACTTGAGCTTGGAGGGCGCCTGCGCACCTGTCTTGGACCCAGGGCTGGCCTGGCAACGGCAGGGACGCCACTGCAGAGCCGGTGCCCCCGCCAAGTCAGGAGGGGCAAGAGCAGGCCGCGCCCTGGCTCTTCCACTCCTCCCCCACCCTCCCCCCGCTGCTTGCCCGGCAGCTGCCTGCGCACCATCGCGGCGAAGCGAGACGAACACAGCGGCCGAAGCGTGCGCCGAGAAGAGCAAGCCTGGAAGGTGAAGCAGCCTCCTCCTCCTCCTCCTCCTCCTCCACCTTTTCCTCCTGTTTCTCCTCCTCCTCCTCCTCCTCCTCCTCCTCCTCCTCCTCCTCCTCCTCCTCCTCCTCCTCCTCCTCCTCCTCCTCCTCCTCCTCCTCCTCCTCTTCTTCTTAATACTATTATTATTATCTAGTATTATTATTATTATTTATTATTATTATAATTATAATTATAGTTATTATTAATAATATTATTATTAATATTAATATTATTATTAGTATTATTATTGTTATTATTATTATTATCATCATTCTTATTATTAGTATTAGTATTATTATTGTTATTATTAGTATTATTATAACTAGTATCATTATGATTATTATTATTCGTATTAACAGTATTATTCTTAGTATGGTTAATATCCGTGTTAGTAGTATTCTTAGTAGTAGTATTATTCGTATTAGTCTTAGTATTATTATTCTTATCATTATTATTAGTGTTCGTATTCGCCGTCTTGTTATTCGTATTACTCTTTGTATTATTACTATTGTTGTTTGTTGGTATTCATATTGTGATGATTAGTATGATTACTAATCATATAATTATTCGTGCCATTATTATTTGTATTACTATTAATAGTGTGTTTTGTCTTCTTAGTATTCTTAATATAATGCTTATTAATATCAGTATTATTCCTATGCTAAGTAGTATTACCGTTGTTCGTCTTGCGTGTGGATTATTATTCTGAATAGTAACATTATTAGTATTAGTATCATTGATAATACTGGTATTAGTCTTGAAATGTTGCTTATGCGTATTCGTAGTATGCTTATCATTATGTGAGTATTATTATGATTGGTAGTATCATGGGTATTAGTATTATCCTTGTTAGTAGTAGTGCGCTTATTCTTGGTATTCAAAGTTTGATTCATATTATTATTAGAAATACTCGTACTATGACTGTTGTTATGGTTCGTAATACTATTATGATTGTTCCTTTTATTGGTAGTATTAGTAGTCGTATTATTCTTAGTCATACTCTTGTTATAATTATGGTTCGTCTTATTATTATTCTTAGTACTATCATCATTATTCGTACTATTAGCATTGATATTATTACTACTCTTCCTCATCCTCCTTCTCCTCGTCTTCCTCCTCCTCCTCCTCGTCCTCCTCCTCCTCTGCCTCCTCCTCCTGCTCCTCCTCCTCCTCCTCCTCCTCCTCCTCCTCCCGCTGGCCGTGCCCCCGCCAAGCCTTCAGTAGCAACCACCCCAAAAGCACCACGAGAGTCAATCGTCCAGGGTGAGGCATGGAGCCCCACGGACAGGAAAGGAAGCCCAAGCCGATCGTGATCCCACACCGGCCGTCGTGCCCCGCGCGCCTGCGCGTGGCGGACATGCGCTCGCGTCAGAGGCGTGCGCTGTGGCGCTGCGCATGCACAAAGCATTCACCGGGCGAGGAGGATGCACAGAATCCGCCGACCCTGTCGGGGCGCGTGACGGGAAAGTCTGTGCCAGTCTAACAGGGAGTGGTCTCGGGAGGCGCCTCTTTCACTCGAAGATGCTCCTCCCTTCCTGGCGACCACCTCCGGCTTTCCGAGCTCGCGAACCCTGACTACCTACCAGACCACCCCAACCCAACCCGAAGGCCCGAATTTAGGGCTGGGGGGGTAGCGGTTCCACATATGTTTTTTCAATGTTTCCCGACCCCCCCCCCCACAGGAAATCGAGGGTAAATTTGAACCTTCGGGTTGGGTTGGGGTGGTTTGGTGGGTGGTGAAATCCTGCGTGCATCGAGCCAGCCAGGCCGTTGAAGCGAGCCGAAAGGAAACACATCCCCTGCGATCTCTTCCCCGCCGGGGGTGGGGCGGGGCGGGGAGGGCTGGGGGGGGGGCGCGGGGGGGCCGTTCGGCCAGGCAACTGCACGTGAACGCCCCCCCCCCCCCGAAAGTGAGATTTCTGGAGAGCGGGCCTGGGTTCAGAATCCCACCAGCCCTTTTGGGCGTAGGTGGTCTAGAGCGTTTCCACCGTTACCCCTCCTACTTCCCCTTCGGAGCATGCGCAGCCAACCCGATGCGGCCTCCCCCCACAATCCCTGTCAAAAAACAATACAGAATATACTTGACGGCGGCGGCGGCGGCAGGGGGGAGGAGGAGGAGGAGGAGCAGGAGGAGGAGGAGGAGGAGGAGGAGGTTGCAAAAAAGCCCATGCTCAGGCGGGATCATGCGAGGCACGCGCTATGAGAGGCATTCGATGCCTACTGCAGGCGGCTGCGGAGACG